ATCAATCACTCAAAAACATGGTCCTTACACACTGGTTTCTTGTTTTCTGGCACTACCCTTTTTGACCAGCCTAATAAGAGGCTTCACACGCAACATGGGATTTGTCTGTCACCGTCATATATACATTAAGGTATATTTGAGTCAAATATTCCAATGATTTTTATGGATTTGGTGTAAGATTTAGTGTTACTCATCGAAGATCTCCTATGATTTGTCAATTCAATGTTGTTTCATTAATTTTGAGCAATAAATAATATCTTTTAATCATATTCAATTGTGATATTAATAAAAAATACGTTAATAAAAACCAATGTAGATGCATAAACCTCAATTTATTTTGCAATAATTTTCTTGTTATTGAAATTTGGTTTGTGTTGATTGATCTCTTGCATGTCACTAGGCAACATATGATCATAAGAACTCCAAGATCACATCATCTTATTTACACATTAATTAGATCACGTGTATGCATTAAGAAACCGAAATAATTGGTCAACAAAACTTGCAGTCGAAGTTCCTTTTTAACTAAATCTTTGTCACATGCACACTATAATCGCATACATATAAAAAATGGGCGCACTGGCCAATCCATGGTTGCATAGACGGATTTAGGAAACTTGCTCGAACCCATTGAATCCAAATTATGGATATTTTCCCTTCAATGTTTTCAAGGAAGTAATTCATTGTTCACTTGGCCTTTTTGTGCCTTTGAGATGCAATGACCCAAAAACAATTTCAAAGATATAAAGAATATATGCAACAAGAAGTATCAATGAAATTCTCATTTGACTTATCAAGTATAAAAAAGCTTGGCAAATAAGAGTTCATTCCATGTATCCTGAAGCCCGGGCAAACACCAATGCACACAGTCTGCATAGCTAGTGGGATTGGCTATTTGTTTGGGTGTCAAAGGGCTCCATTGCTTCTTGTAAATTGACGTGTGGGCATCTTTTCGATAAAGTGAGAGTTGTGTGATGTTGAGAAATGTTATGGGAAACTTTGATTTTCTGAAGACTTCTCCGATAACTCCCATTATACTTTTTCTGCAATCAGATCCCCAGTAGTTTGGATCAGCAATCATTTCTGTCTGGTTATAACAATTTCCATTTGGCTCAGCTCCCCAATCGATGCTCCTGTACATAAAACCACAAAAGGGTAAACATATTTATGAAATAGACTATTTGTTTTCTCGTCATTTTTCTGAAGCAAAATCACCAAACCCATATAATAATGCTATAGTTATTTTGTATCACATGCTCAAAAGGTTATTTGATCGTCTATACTCTAAAGAAAGTCTATATTCTTATGTTGGGAAAGAAAATTTACTGACTTTTGATGAGAAGGAGACATGCTCGTGAAGAAGACTCTCGTTTTCTTGGGATTCATGTTATTCTTTGCCCATCTCAACATACTCTTCATCCCCATTCTGTAAGCATCCTCCGTCGACACTTCTACTATCTCTTTCTCTTCATCGTCAAACGATCCCTGCCTGCAAGTTCTCGCAAAAGTTAGTCCTCAATTGGTCATAAACATTAACATGATATATGGTTTTACGATCAACTTTGAGCTATAAAGTCACTGTAACATGATTGAACATGTTTGTTTAAATAAGTCTAAGGAAAGACCAAGAAAGAGAAATTACAAAATCTTGAACTCAAGGCCAGTCATCCACCATAGGTAGGTATTGAATACCATAATATCAACCCCTTTCCAGTGTTTTCCATGCTTGTAGATGGAACCTCTTCGTACAACTCTATCGGAAACACGATGTACGACAGCATCATCAGAGTTTGATTCAAGTAAAAAGGGAGCCCAATAGAATTCAATCGTCGCATTGTAATCCTACAACAATAAATATTCGTCAAAAACATAAATATTGAGATCCCCGGTCGTGTGTGTGTGTGTATATATATATATATATATATGAAAGGAATTAAGTATAAAGAAATAAGTATATTGAATACTTCAATAAATAAATTTAAAGAAAATTTGTTTTTAACTGTCTATGGAAAAATGTTACCTTGGCAGTGAAAACAGTGAGAGAGCCAAAAGTTTCCATGGATTTAGCATGATCTGGGATGAGTGAATGGAGAAGACACACCATTGATACGTACTGGCCTCTGTTTAAGGAATCTCCAACGAACATCATTCTCTTGTTTCTTAATGTTTCCAACATCAGTGACGCATTGAAACTGTATCATTAAATGTAATGTAAAAGAAGATTTAATCTCAATTTTTTTATATAATATAAACTTTTTAAAATGTGTTTAAAACAAAATCAAATCTTTTTATAGTTAAATAGATAACTCATGAATTTTAGCCCTAAGCAATTTAGTGATCCTTTTATTTCAAAACATGCTAGAAGAATTTTTGTGGGGCCCACCGTCCATCCTAAATTAATGAAAAGTCAAACTCTGTAGTTGGTGGAACCGTTTACCGAACTACATTTAAATTATTATTGAAAGAGTGAGTTGGTTTGCTAAAATTCTGAATTTAAACTTCAAATAAATTATTTATATCAATGGTTTTTAAAATTTTAATTTCATGACATTCAAGGTTAATGAAATTAATATCGTCAATTAATAACTGTTAAAAAAAGATAAAGCAGTTTTTAAACAAATTATAAAGATTAAAAATATAATTCACTCTAAAATTAATTGTGATTCACATATTTTTCAAAAAAATAAAATTGTTTATTAAATTTTTTAAAATTTTTCAAAAAAATAAAATAATTATGTTTTAAAGTTAAAATATGCAGGACACTATTAAATTGAATTATCAAACAATGGTGAATAAACTATAACAATTAAAATGATAATAGTTGAAATATTTTTCTGTTAACCATATTTTCAAAATATTTTTGGTAAAGATTTAAATGAAACGTGTATATGTGAATCATAATTAATTTTAGACTAAATAACACTTTTGGTCCCTATAGTTTGCTTAAAGACTGATTATCTTTTCTAATGATTGTTAACTGATAGTATTAACTACAAGGACCTTGAGTTTCATGAATTGAAAAGTTAGGAACCATCAATATAGATAATTTGTTTTAGGGATCAAATCTAAAATTTGAGCAAACTATAAGGACCACCAATATAATTCACTCTTATTGAAATTAAAATACTTATTGCATTTGTTCATTTTTTTTATATTTAGAGTGAACTACAAATGTAGTTTGATAGTCTCTATGGTTTGTCAAAAATAAGACATTTTATCTTTGGAGTTTCGAAACTACAACATGGCAATTATAGTTTGTTAAAATGTTTGATTTGATCCTTTACATTAAGGGTCGTTAAAAGGTTTCGTTAAATGAGGGGCATTTTCATCTTTTTATCAATTTTTTTGTCATTTACCTGATCAAAATTTATTTTATGATTTCAGTCCATGTGGTTTTTTATTGGGTAAAAGGCAAAAAAATCTATAGAAGCACGAAGATACCCCTCACGTGACAAAAAAAAAAAAATTAGTGACCCAGGCAGATTCGTTGGTGACTCTTATGGATGCCGCTAACTGGATTTACGATGTGGAAAACAGGGCAATGATTGTTTACAATGACAAAGGGTTCAAGTCCCTCCTTCCGCCCCTTATCCTAGTCTACACTTGTTCACAAATTATAACGGTTCGCCAAGGTGTAGCATCAGTTCCAGACAACCACTCAAGAACGAGGCAAAAGAAAAAGAGCAAAGTTCTTCCAAAAACCGACGCCGTACCACTTGGCTACCCGGATACGACATTAGAAAGAGAGACTAAATTCAGACATTATCGAAAACCACGATAGTCACTTTATTATATTTAAAATTGTAAGGACGAAAAATATTATCTTTTAGAAACCAAAGGGACTAAATTTGTGATTTGCTCTTTATTTTATCTTGGATGTTTTGATTTATTCTATTTTAATTTTAGATGTTAAACAAACTAATTTGTAGTTTAATTCAGAATGACATAAATTCTTTTAAAGTATTTGATGATAACCAAACTCAAAGTTGTAAAGTATAAAATATCATTTATTTATACAAAAATAGAAAAAAGGGGTTTAGTTGATTAATAAAATTTTGTCTACAAAAAACTAAACATTAAAAAATCTAACTAGTAGAAAGTAGGTTACAACGTATCATCGACACTTATTTTCTATAAGTCGATAAAATATTCACTTTCATCATACCTATAATATCATAATTATTATTTAATTTAAACAATTTCATGATCCAAAATCAATATTTCAAAATTTTGTAATAATTACAAAGAAAATATATATTTATTTGAAAACTTACCAAATTTAAATAAAATAAGATCACAAAATGCACATCAACCCCAAATGACTCCATATTTATCGAGTTTGAATTTTTTTTTAAAAAAAAAAAACTGAAATTTATTTTAGGGGTGTTTGGAATTGCTTATAAAAACAGTTTATTGACTTAATTCGGTATGTCACCGGTAACAAACATTTTTGAGTGTTTAGAATTTTAGATAAATAACTTATACTGATGTCAAACCGGTAATAAAAAGTTTTTGAAGAAGTTAAACTCTTCTAGTAAGTTTTAATAAGTTGATAAATTGTTTTTGTAAAAAAACATAAGTTGTTTCACCTTTAATTTGAAGAATTGAAGTTACCTTGGAAGAGAACAGCCATGTGGTTGCCATCTCCAAAACTGGTAATCCCGGTCCGGCCGGCCATGCTCCTGACACGTCAGCTGCGGCTGTATATATGGACACTCCGATTCTTGATACAACGGCCGGTTTAACGGATCCCACACCCATTTCCCACTAAAAACATCACATCCATCCTCCTTCTCCCCAATCGAAAATGGCAGCTTCTTGTAATGCTTCTCTAATTTATTAATAATTTAAATTAAAATTAAAAAAAGAAACCCTCTAATTCTATTAAAAATTTGAATCGATATACGGACTGCAAATAATCATGAAAATTAATTAATTACCAGTAAACGACGAAGGTGGTCGGTGTGGACTGATATCGAGATCGAGTTGCCCGAGGATGCAACCGAGGTCTTGACCGTAGAGAATGGTGATGAAGAGGATGAAGGCTAATAAGGTAAAAAGGTAAGGAGAGAGTCGAGGTTTTCTGGTAAGAATGAAGGTTGAAGATGAAGAAGAAGACGACGACGTAGGAGGTGGTTTCATATTCTTGAATTGTAATGTCAAAAATTTTGTTGGTTGGTTTTTGGTATAATGAAGAGATGTGTCTACGTTTATATGATGATGCATGCTTCAATAATATAATTTTGGACTAATTTTTGATCAATCCTAATGATGATGAGATGATGCTTTAATTTGGATCTAGGTTTTGTTTAATATGCATACATGTTTAGGTTTAATTTCATGTTTAAATTTGTAATAAACAACATAGTACATTGGACCCACAAAATTTGATACTTAGTTTTTTTGTTTTTACGGATACATTTTCGATAACTGTATGTTATTTATTCGAATTTAGGATGTGATTGTTGGGGATGGAGCGATATATGTATGTCACTTTCGTGCCCTTGTTTAACTTATTATTTATGAGATGATCCATGTTGTTAAAAAAATATAAGGGGCATCAGCCAAAAACCCGATAAAAGAACTTCGAAATCAATAAAAAAACGAAAAAAGTCGTTCAAAATCGATCAAAAAACCTTAAAAATTGCTTGAAATCAATCAAAAAACTTTAAGAATCTCTTAAAACGGTAGAATTTGGCTAAAAACACATTGAACAAGTTTATGGGCCTTTGATCTAATTTAAAAGTGACCTGCCATTGGTGATGGTTGGTTAAATTAAACAAAATTGAATGAATTAAGGGGCCATTTAGTAGACGTTTACTCGATAAGTGCTTGTTGGGTAATTTTTTTTTTCTGGATGAACATGACAAGGGGCAAAAATTTCACCCAGTAAGGGTAATTATGAAGATGAATAGTCTTACTCGGTAAGTGAATGTGACGACACTTACCCAGGTAAGCGCTTACCAGATAAAATAAATATATTAGTTGAATAATTTTATCCGATAAAATAAATTACAATGTTGATTTATGACAATAAGCACTTATCGAGTAAACATTTAGGTAAACGGCCCCTAAATCTATTGGTATCATCATATTGATTATAAATTAAAATAGAGGGTTATTTTTTTCAAAATTATAGTAAAGTTAGTTGGTGTCGATGATAAATGAAATGGATTAGTTGAATAATTATTTCATAATGTTTACAGCTTGTCTATCACATTAAAATTAATGGTGATCGAATGAGCCACCTAAATTTCTATATTTTCGCTAAATTCATTTTTTTTAATTCTTTTTTCCACTTTAAAATTTAAAACTAAAATTACCCTTTTGTTTTCAAGATCTGAAAAATGAAAAAAAAATGTAAAATTAAATTATGTAACATTTTGATTTTTAAACTTAAATTATATAAACATTAAACATATTTTTATTTAATTCTTATTTTTATAAGTCATAAATTAAAAGTCTATATATATATAACTTATAATTTAGAGTCTACACTTAAAAAGAATAGTTGGAATAAATGTACTCCGGAGGTAAGAATTTAATGAAAATATGTTGTTTTTATATGTAACTTGTCAATTAATTTAAGTCATAGCATTATATTAGTTATTTATTTGGGTCTTATAGTCCTACTTTGGTTAATAAGGTAATTTTAGTGGTTTCTTCATATAAAAGACTACAATATTTGTGGGCTTATCGACGATTTTAATCGGTCTTCAAGGACACCAATATAAAGGGTATTTTTTTTTAGTTTACTCAAAACATCTTCAACAACTTTTCTATAATAGAGAAAAACAACTTTTTATTCTCTGTAATACTTCAACAACTTTTCTATAATAGAGAAAAATAACTTTTTATTCTCTGTAATACTTCAACAACTTATCTATCTCATTCTTTGAAATCGAGAATCATGGAGAAAACTCTAAATATAAAAAATTCTTTAAAAATTAAAAAAAAAATGAGTTTTTTATTCATCCCACCAATGAGAGTTGGATTGACATCATTTTTTATATATTTCTCATAGAAAAGTGTATTGGATCATAAAATTATAAAATATTTAAATAATGTAATTAATAATAAAATCTCTAAAAATAGAGAACCTGTTGGAGTTGATTGCAATTTATTTTAAAGAATTTGACTTTCAATTTTCTATTTTAGAGAAGCCGTTGGAGATGCTCTCAGCAGCTAACACTTAAGGGGAACTGAGATTGAACCCAGAACTTATCTTGTATTTGAGGATACAAAATTAGGGTTGATCAAGGGCAAATATATCAAAAAAAAAAAAAAGTATTAGTATTTTATCCGAATAGAACTAAGTAACAATAAATATTAAAACAAAACAAATATTAAAAAAAAAATATGATTATTTAGCAAAAGGATATGATGGTTGGATGGGAAGCTATCATGGAATCTTGGCTTTTAAGCTAAGGTTCCTTTGTGAAAGATGATCCATCATTTTCCATCAACTCTTTTTAACATCTAATTAAAAACCCTATTTCTTTTTTAACCCTAAATCTTTTAAAACCTATTTTAGCTACACCCATAACTTTACTTTAAAATTTTAATTATTTCGTGAGTTGGATTTACTAAAATACTGCTTCGAACACCAGATTTTTGAAGCTCTACTTGCCGTAAAAAATGAATAAAAACAAACGTGATCTTCAACTCAAAGTACGTATCATGTGTCGGTTACAACTTATATCACGTAATTTACTTACGGTTTTTTCAAAATCCATATTTACTTAGAAATTATAATCGAATTTTGTAAAAATACTATATAATTTGTACATATTTGGAAGAAAAAGAAATAAAAAGTAGTTAAAGAGGGGAGTAGGTGATTTTCAGGTAAAATATCGACTTCATATGTTTGGTGTTTAACAAATGGAACAGTTGGAGATGAGTTGACATTGCCCCAACAATGATGTATGCCTGCATTGCATATCTTAGTTTTTCTTTCTGGACGGACCCACAATATATATATATATATATATATATATATATATATATAATCAAATGAAAACTATTTTGTTTGTGGTAAACGTGAGATTCAATCTCAACTACAGATTAAAGGTTAAATTATGAAATTAATAATTCTTGTTTAAAATATTAATTAAGAGAATTTTAGGGATTTTATAAATATCTTCTCTCATCTCTCCTATTTTGTTCTCTCTCCGGATAATCTTATTCGGCAAACCTTATTCCGATAAAACTTTTGTGAACACAAGATACACATTGTGACGCCTACAAACGGTGTTCGCTGTGATAATCAGGTATACATACAAGATGCACAATGTTATACCTTTTGTAAAGCAATGAAAATAACGAAAATGCACACTATGATACATTTCATAAAACAAAGAAAATATTGTGATATGCGTAAAACATTATGAACGTTATTACTATGATACACTTTGATTCACAAACGTCTTTGAAATACGATGTATATTAGGTAATTGATATACTAGGTAACTAATTTTAATTAATTAATTCATTCTAAAAAAATTAATTAAATATTTTGATTAGTTGTCAAAAATAGAATTATTATATTACCCTTTTAGCTTATTTAAGAAATATTCTTAAATATCTCAAACGATTGGTTCACATTTGATCTCACGATTACCACAATCTAATTAGTTCTCCCTTGAATGAGTCCATGTATATATACATATATATATATATAGGTGAAAGATTATGTGAGAAAGAATATTAGAGTGAGAAACGTGGGAAAGGATCAGAATTCTTAATCACCTTCAATCTCAAACCCACCAATGAATCACGTTTGATTGGGGGATTAGTCTGGTGAATCTCGGTGCATCTCACCCTAACATGCATCTAAGGATGAAGATCATTTCTTATGCTTCTTAACTTAACTCTTATATTCACCGGAACTCAACCCTATATATATATATATATATATATATATATATATATATATAATTAAATGTATGCATACATATATACATATATTAGGTTCGGAGAGAACTCTTAAAAAGAACCAAAAATCTATCTAGCCATGTTTTTTTAATAAAAATATATTTCCCTATTTTTTAAATCATAAGTCAATGAAATATAATGAAAATTGGAGTAAAACAAATCAAACAGACATATGATCACTTTATTATCTTTAATTTAATATTCATTTTGATATATTTTTCCATCTGTTTTTTTACGTCTCCCACCAATGGGAGTTAAACAATCAAATGGGAACTTCATATATTGGAGAACCGTGTAAAAACTTTTTTTTTTCATCTAATACAAAGATTTTAGATATTGTTTAACATAGATGAATTCTATTCATAACCCTTCCTATAGGGGGTTATCTGAATTGGGGGTGGGGGTGGGGGTGGGGGAAAGAACCAGATGTATATGTGTGAGGGGTATAAATAGCAACCCCCTTTACATATATTTGTTTCCCGAACATGTTCTATCCTTAGCCTCCATCTGTCATTAGTAATCTCAATTCGCATTTCCAATTCACTGGTACGATGCGCGCTACAACTAGGAGCCCCTTACTAGTAAGGGAAAAGACTAGCGTGTAAGAGCTGGTGAAAAATCAGCAACTTGTTAGAACTAGGTTTTGGCTTACCCCTTTCTTCTTATTAGGAAGATAGATTTGGAACCCTATGCAAGGGGCTGCTTGCTACTCACCCCTATCTCCTAAAAGGACGCACACTCGTTACCATTAAACAACGAATTAGGACCTAGACAATCTTTTTTAACAGTAGGAAACAACAGACATAAGCTAGTGCCACTAATAGGACCGGGCTTCTAACTAGCTGGAGTTGATGCTGCTCTTCCAGTAATAAAAACAAGACTGTCTTAAATCAACTTGTTTATTAGAATGCTTGTGAAACTCTATTACGTGTCTTTCACAAACATGTAAAAAGATTTTACAATGTAAAACAAATATATGTTAATCATTAATCAATACAGTAAATTATAGACTTAGATGAAGAAAATCATGCGAAATAACACATGATACATTAATTCTCACGATTTGCAACTTTTTTTGTATTTCTCACTATAATGCCCCAAGCCAAAAGTATCGGGCTAACCAAATAACTTCAAATTCGACTTAAACAATGGTTGAAGTTATTGATAGCCCACAACTTGAAGCTTATAAAAGTACATAAATCTTATTTTCTATTTTGTGGGAACGGTTGTTATAAACTCCCTCACTTAAATTCCTGACGTCCTAATCTCCCAGCATTCTCCTTGTAGTCGGCAATGTGGTATTCGCCTAAGACGTCACAAACACCGCTCAAAGGACTCATCATGCTCGAAGAGGTTTGCCCCCACCACATCTTGTTGGTACAAAAATCGGCTCTGATACCATTTGTAATGCCCCAAGCCCAAAGTAACAGGTTGGTGGTCCAGTATTTACAGTCACATAAATAATATGTCAACAGGTCATAGATTTAATTAAGATCTCCTTTAAAGTTATATACATTCACACTTGGCTCAATTCTAATTGAAGATTAACAGTAATGAGATGCACCGGATCAGTTCCTGTATCAAACACAATTTAGGGTGGAAGTGAGATTAAAAATGATCAATAGTCTAGATCCCTTCTTACGCTTCTTAAACTCAACTTTTATTCTCACACAATACTTTATCATGGACCCAATGGTGTGTGTGTGTGTGTGTGTMTATATATATATATATATATATATATATATATATATGGTTGGATTCACGTGAGACCAGCCTGTTTTCGTGAGACCCGTGAGACCAAATTTTTACATTTGAAACTTCACAGCAAAAACACTGTGAAGGTTTAAAAAAGTCGAACCTTCACAGTAAAAACACTGTGAAGGTTACCTTCACAACATTTTGCTGTGAAGTTTCAAGTGTAAAAAGATAGTCTCACTGGTTTCATGAAAACAGGCTGATCTCACGTGATCCCAAGTCTCTATATATATATATATATATAGGATGTGGTTGGGTGGTTCCCATGCTGGTGTGCATTACCAGCAAAAACTTGCATGGTTGAAGACTTGGAAGTAGTACATTTGGTCCCAGTGTCTGATCTCCTTTTTTAACATCCAAAAAACAGATGGGTAAAATGCATTTACCATAACATCCAAAAAAATTACATAGAAAAATAGCATAAAACCATTTCAGGCTTTTTTACACTGTCAAGGAAATAACTCAGCTAATATTTTTGGCAATGCAGCATGAAGACCAAGAAATACAAATGAATAAATACTTAAAATTATAACTTCTGATACAGTAAAAACCTCATTGTACACCTCAGCATCTAAAACAGGTTTAATAATTTAATCAAATATGATTTTGCCGCGAGAAAGAAGATGCATACGAAATGCTCGAATTCTTGTTTTGCATACCGAACTGGAACATATTCTGCTTTCTCCGACCCTGTGACAGCAATGGTTGCACCAACTATATTTGGACCAAAGGATGTTGCAAGTCAAAAGTCAACGGGAGAATACGAGCTCCTGTAACTTTGAGAAGGTCCTTTAAATCTTCGAATCAATGACATGATTAAACTCTGCAAACATGGCAGTGGTTATTGAAAGTTAAAATGTACCAAAGCGCAATTTTTCTGGAGATTTTGGAAGCAGTTAAAAAGACAAAGAAATTGATAGCGGATGCAGAGTTCAAGCTCTAAACCATTCTAAAATGTCCTTTGGGTGCGTTTGGTATGAGATCAGAAGTGGACGGGCGAGAGTTAAAAATGCACGTGAAAGAATTCCCGAAGGTTTTAGGGTTTTAAGTTGACATTTAGTAATTTATCAATCTTGTTTCATCTCCATGATTTTTATCCACCTATTTTGGTGGGGCAGAAATGCATTTTTATCCCACTTAGTCCATGTCCCAACTTTGTGTCGGTCTAATGTTGCATCAAATGTCTAACAACAAGTTCTTAAACTGTCATGTCTCGTGTAGCAAACACATTAATGGTAACAAAATAGAGGAATCTTGTAGACCAAAAAAACTGGTGTCATCAATATGCTGTACGATCACTAATGAACAAATATGTAAATTTTGGATTGGAACCATGTCAAGAAATTTTGGGGAATCCCAGAAAGAAAATTGTTGTATTTGATTTAAAAAGTAGGGAGCAATATCTATATGCAAGCTTACATATAGATTGACCACGTTCCCTTTTATCATAAATATTCTTTTTCAGCCACAGAGCCAATAAATGAACAAGGTATATCTGTATGTGGTGTCTGCGGAGGGTAAGATGTATGCAAACCCAACCCCTACCCCAAAGAATAGAGTGGCTGTTTTAATGAAGACCCTCCCCCCCCCCCCCCTCCCCCCGGCTTGTGAAAAGTGAAACTTAACGTACAATCAAGGAGAAAGATTAAGTGATGAAACAATACCCGAACTCTATGGGGCAAGCTGGCCCAAAATTCCAAATTCGGAATAATCTGAAAATATAAACAGAAAGTAAGTCATGCAACAATCCCCAACTAAGACATCCAGTGTTTTAGGTGAAGGTTGAGAAAACTTACATCTATACCACGAATGCCAAGATAGAAGAAGCGATAAGCAGCTCCAGCTATCAGATAACCTCCAAGGAGACACAAAAGTCTGAAGAACAAAAAAAGAAAATTCAGAAAAGGACAATATGAATGTTCGTTGTATCATTTGTAATTTGATCATTACGTGATGAAGAGGGTGCCGAACCAGCCCCATCCATTGCCATGGGCAGACAAAACGTTAGCGCAACCAGCTGGATGCATTATTTGCGTAGCCTGCATTAAATAGGCAGCCACTGTAAAATGATTGGCTGCTAAAAGTTACAGATAAACGTGATAACCAAACTAAACAAGCCTCAGTGAGTCCCACATGGAGTAGGGTCCGGGGAGGTAAAATGTACGTAGCTGCTGACTTTCTAACCCTCTCCTTACCTATGTTTCTGGTGCCTACTCGACTGTCCTAGTACATCTATGCCTACCTTTCGACTCTAACCCATTCGCAACCCTCAACTACTCTATATCCCCTTCCCCGCCCCCAATAATCACTGGTCCTTACACACAATCTGCTGTCCTAGTCCTGTGTCTCCACAAACTCCTATCTGAGTTATGATAAGGGTAGTCGACTTATTTGAGGAACACGTGATACTATAATAAAGTTTATAACAAGAAATACAAATAGACTAATGGGCGAAGGATCGTGTAAGAAAGGAAGTTATGGTGAGAAATGTAAGCAGAGATCTGAACCCTTGATCACTTTTAATCTCATGCTCACCCATGAATTGTGCTTTAGAAAGGAATTGATCCGGTGCATTTTGGTGCACCTCATTAGTGTTGACATTCAATTAGGATTGATCCAAGGGTGGAGATCTTTTTACACTTCTCACCTAACTTCCCTTCTCACCGGAATCCAACCCTGGACTGATGTTGGTTTTAAACTTTGTAACAAAATCGATGTAGTATTATGTTTGGAGAGTGGTTCATGTCGCTCCATGGAGGGGTATCTATCGGTTCTCTATCAAGTGCAGATGGAACTTTTGGGTTTCAAAACACTCACAAAGTTACAAAGCCCACCGACTCTCTCGAGTGTCTTTGGTCCCTGTGAAAAGCAACACGTAGAAGAATTTGAGTTGTTATTTAGAAATTTAGAAAGATGATAACTATTAAAAAGGCAAAGGTAATGTTTTCTCACTTGAACTTGCTTTGAATCACAGATAACAGAAACAGAAAGTGAACAATTCATATCTGACCCTTGGTGCCACATTTTGACGACAACACCCCTGTCTGGACTGTTTTTATCTGTCATTTTGATAACCCAAAAAAGAGTAAATATAGATGTTGCAAGCATCAGAATACAACTTCTTTGCAACAAAACAGAAAAAAAAAAGCATCACGACACTTTAAGGGATCATGCACGTACTGCAAATGAGAAAAAGACGCATGAGCCATTATGAGGGAGACAACATACCACAAGAAAGCCCAACGTGAGCCAGAAATGTCTAAAGTCATACATTAATGCCCATAAGACCCATAAACCAGCTACAAAGCAAATGAGTCCTAAGAAAAGGCCTTTGAGCCAATGGTATCAAAATCGCTAGAGTAACATTCATGGGGCCAGATTCAAGTTTTACTAGAGACAAGTTGGGTTCGAGACTCTCGAGTATTTTCTACACAAATAAAAAAGAAAAAAAAATGGAAGAATCCAATTGGGAATACAACCGTCAAGTCTTACTCAGGGGCCATTTACCCAAACGCTTACCTGGTAAGCGCTTATTGATAGAGTCAACACTCTAACTTACTTTCCCGAGTAAGACTGTAGTCCATCAAAACGGTATTGTATGCAACAATTTATCCGGTAAGCGCTTACCAGGTAAGAGTCGTTACCCTCACTTACTGGGTAAGATTCCCAGCCCTTGCCATGTTCATTCGGTAAGGTAAATGACCCGGTGAGTGCTGAGCAGGTAAGCATTTAGTAAAAGACCCCTTAGTAACAAGTTATATTTAGGGCCAATGTTATTAAAACGACATTACCAATAAGATCTGTGGTGATGGTTTGGATGCGCCCAATAGTAGTACATACAGGATAACCTGCATATGTTCCATAAAACTTCATAAGCTGTTTTAGACGTTTCTCCTATATGATATAACAACATACAAGTACACACACAAAGGGATTCATTTGAGAGAAAAAAGACCATAAAGAGATTTCCCTTCCCTCTGATTAAATGATTTCAAAAAATATGAATAAGTTCCTATTTCTCCAAATGATCCAACTCAAAGCTTTTATTTATAAGATGATAAATAATATTTGTATTTATAGAAGTTTCCTCAAGAACACACCCAATTTATTAGTGGACATAAGTGCACTGCAACCCATCCCGCATCGGGATGATTCCCCACATCCCTGTACAAATAAAATTCAGATCATCATTACAAAATCTTTATTACAATTTAAGAAATGAAAATACACAATATCAATCTGAGGACTTAGCCATGGCTGGTGAGGAAGGTTTTAGTCAACTAAATTAACTATCATAACAAGGAGCAAGTTCGAAACCATCAAACGAGAGCTTCATTTCTTGTACACTGGCTAACAAGATAATGCTTGCCTCGACAAAGTATCAAGGGATTATTCCTCTAGTCCCAAAACTAATGCCTTCTTTATAACTTAAGGAGTCGAAAGGACTGTTTGAACTACAAATTTGATATGAACTCATTTAATTTTCAAGAAAAGTTAGGCATATTTTAAACTAAAAGACCAACATTAAAATGCAAAAGAATAAACATTAATTTGAATTTCCAAAAATATTAGATTAGATCTTCAAAGTCAAAAGGGACTGTCTGGACGGGGGAATATGATAACCAAAAACCATTTGATACATGTTGATCTCATGCAAACGTTTAGAAGAAGGTTTTCTACAATCTGCGCATGAACATAACCAGACAAATTGAGTATGTGATTACAAATAACGTAACAAACATCCAGCTATTGAAATACGAAGAGTCCTTTTTCCTTGACAGTAATAAAAGATTTAATTGCAAGGCTTGGGCACAGGAAGCATACACCATAACAAAGATATTTTCCCGGACTCCGAGGAGCAGACAACACCTGAAACAGTCTTAGAGAAGATTCCTTCAGGATTCAGTCCTCAAATGATATAGTTCGTGAAATCTACAAATGAGTGCCAGACGGATAAGGCCCAAAGCAAGAGATAGAGCATTCTTAGGAAAAACTGTACCATATCAAGATGTCCTAATCATCTCTTGGCAAATGATGGCACAGTGGTGAGTTTCACTCCCATATTACCGAAGTAGTATCAACTGTAACTCTATCCCAATTAGCAGCTCCTCAACAAAAGTTCAAATGCTAGCTCCAAGCAGCAAGTGAAATTAAATATCGATCACTTCTAACAACATTAGAACGCAGAAGCGGGCAATGAAAGACATGGTCTCCCATTTAGTTTGTTATTTATTTTATTTTTCTATGAGTTGTATAAGCTACAATGTATGGTTTCAACTGAATTTGTGTTATTTTTTTTGGTTAAATTACACCATAAGATCAACATAGTGGGAGATGTTGCTTGGTGTTCCTATTAAGCCCATAGAGCTTAATGTTCATAATTACTTGATATAAGTTAATTTTGGACTCCACTACCTTGCTACGTGTTTCATGATTTAAGATGTAAAAATATGGCACCCTCGTACACATACCAGTGACTTGGATCGGATAGAGGGTTGGATCACAGGATCATGGATGATGTGAGTTGCATCAACCATAAACCCACACACCCAATGCATCTGTACCAATATTTGTCCATCAACCACCTTTCGTCAAAATAGACCTTCCTTTATGATCAATTCATTCAATATTATCCTTCAATCTACCATCCATTCAGCATCTTTGGAACTAAAATTCCTCCTCTATGTGCACTGTTCATTTAGTTTCACAAAAGGAGAATAAATAGCGTATGCCATATGTATTCAATCATTTGGTGATTGAGTGCCAATATTGTTTATTAATCGGTTCTCTAATTCCATTTAGTGGATCACTATATAATCTTGTATTAACTCACACTGCATGCTTCTGATGATTTAATATTTTCTTTATAACTAACTCTTCAGAGGTTAGATATAACACAAGTTCTTCCGAAGCATAAAAGAAAGAGAGGAAGCAAAACTTAGTCCTTTATAGAAAAATTAAGAATCTAAGTTCGATAAATGTGAAAGATCTTAAACTTTCATTAGCTGTCATATTCCTAGGGGAGGGGTCTCATCCGGTGGCGGATACAGAAGGTTAAAGAATTTTAGAACACCAGTTTTAACAAGTCATGGGTCAAAGATATTGGGTTGGGTCCAATAAATATTACAATATGTCAATACAACCTACTTAATTCAAATCACTACAGATTTTTGAACACTTTACAATTCGGTACCAAACTATTCACAATTAGGTATATTGCGCAATAAAATGCTTGTAATATCTCGATGAAGAAACTTAACACTACTCTACATTCAAAACTAGCAATTACCAACTCACAAAAACAAATCGATTTTCAACAAATCCTAACTTAAGAAAATAAATTTTACAAAACCTAACAATTAATAATAAATAATAAACATATAAATAACACATATATTTAAGCAAAAAAACTAAAAATAAAGTATAGTAGTAACGCATTTCTTCAAAGGTAAGAAGTTGAGGGTAAGTACTGGGGAAGGTTGGGGGAAATATGAAAATTTAGGCTTAGAATTTTCTTTTCATAGCTTTTGTATAGGTGTAGCTGACTTTTTTGTTGGGGGCAAGTGCCCCCTACCCCTTAAAGGTAGATCCGCCCCAGGTCTCATCCACTACTGTTGTTCCTTAATCTGTTTTCTAACACCATTTATCGAATACATTACAAATTCATGCATTAAATCAAACTACATGATCTTCATGATTTGATCTTTTCATCATAACTAGTCCATTACAGATTGGGCATTGTGAAGTTCTTCCCAAGAATAACAGGAGAAGAGGTAAAATTTATTCCTCTACAGATAAATTAGGAATCTCAGTTCGATAGATGTCAAAGATCTTACTTTTTCATTAGGTGTCATATTCCTTGGGTTGAGGTCCAGTAGTAGGGGGAGACAAAGGTCAATTATCCATCTCAAGTGATGTGGAAAGGAGGGACATCAGTTCTCCAGAGATGGATCCTGTTTCACCATGATATATAGGGCTGAAAAAAGGTTTCTTGGGTACTCAAATGTTTCATCCAAATAATTTTAGCTCCTTTTGAACATATTAACATCACCAATAACTGTAACTTGAGAGACACTCACCCAGCAATCATAACATCTTGGTGGGTCATGGTTAAAAATCATTCCATCGCAAAGCTGCCCCACATAGAAAAGTAAAAAAGATAACAAGTTAGCTTAAAATAACATGGCTGATGGTCAGTCATGTATGTATAATAGAAAGACCGTGTTCACTTAGCAAATTTTCCTCTTATGGATTCTCTCTATCACTTTAATATCGGCATAAACATTAATGAAGAAGAAGAAAAAAAGAAATCAGCAATATCTAACTCTGTAAAGACACAAATAAATATATTTGTAGATAAAAGGATATAATGCAGTAATGCTCATAAACTTCTGCTACTGACTAAATAGACGGAAGCAGTAAAAGGCAAAAGTTTGAATTATATATATCTTGTATTGTGTTGTAACTATAGCAAAAGGAAAAGGAAAATTCATTCGCAAATAAAGCAATAAAGCGTAACCTGTTAGAGACAACCTGAAACCAAATCACTGTCCCATTAGATGACACCTTGTAATATCTGATTCAAATTAATTGAAGATATGGTTAGCCCATTGTACTAGAAGTGTGCAACATTTCCATGTCATTGTTTCAGTCTACAAGAAATATTACTTACCAAGAAATCAATTAAATTAATATTTACTCTTACCTATTTCATTCCTTCAAGTTCAACTCGATCAATTCTGACCCCCAACCCCCAAAAAAGAGTACCATACTACCATGTAATTCTAAATATTTGATTCAAATATGGTAGTTCAAGGGCTCGTAAGGAATTTAAGAAGTTAGTTGGTATTTAACGAGTTAGTTAAAAAGTCCAGTTGCATATACCTGATGAAGAGAGGCCATTCATTAATTGGTCAATTTGAGGATTGAAAGTGGTTCTTGAAAACACCTCAAAGAGTTACAGCTACGATTTATATGACATCAATGCATAATACGAATGACGAGTTAAAACATTGGAACTCATTAGAATGTGATAGAACTTAAAAGCATAAATGAATTCTGTAATATGGAGTTCAATGAAAACTAGTTATATAGGGAAGATAAGGGAAGAATAATATGTTGATGTGGCAACTAGAGGAGTTTTTCCCTTTTGCATTTTTGCCATTTTCTATGAACAAAAGAGCTTTTTTATATTAATGAATTTAACACCGTTAAAATTCATCTATTTCAGCATTCAGCTAATTGCTCCCTCGGTAATCGAAGTGAATCTTTTCTTTGAAGAGGATAAGCAAACATGAACTTCGCAATTTTAGATGCCTCCATCAAATTAATATATCTCTCCAACTCTTGCCACAATGCCACCTAATTTTCTACTATCCCTTCACCATATTAAAACTTTAATCAATTAGACTATGCGTGTCTGTAAATGAGAGAATGAACGCTTGCAATGCTCAATACCCTAAGCGAAAAATCGACCATAACAAAATCTATTGAATGACATATCCACAGAGACATATGAAGGGGTTGGTAGGGAGGGAGGAAGTACCCGTCCTCGCTGAGAACGCCATGAGGGAATGTTTGAGAAGGGGAAGCCAAGCTGTAGCTATAGAGCTTAGTCTCTAGGGTAATACTGAATTCACAAATATCAGATACCGAATGAATTGCACCGAATCTGTATAGAATCGGTAAACTGAGAATGTAGAGAAGGAAACTCCGTAATTGCATTTCCCGACGATTTATGATCCCCGTTTAAATGGAAATCGACTGAATTTCTTGCAATTTGGGGAAGATCATGGAAGTGGAAAAATTAGGGTTCGAATCGAACTTCTGCAGTTCTGCCCCTTTCTGTGTATAAACATGTGACCGTTGTCGGGAGCCGTTACCGTGTACCTGTACCATTACCTGAATGGCTGAATTAATGAAGCTCTTGCCATGTGCAAGTGCAACTAGTGTGCAACAATTTGGAGAAGCCCAATAATTAAGCCCAATCAATAGGCCCAATCTAAATGGGCTTTATTTGGGGTTAGGCCGTTAGGGTAGTTATGGCCAAAAACCGGTCCCGAACCGGGCCCAACCAGTCCCAAAATTTCTCATAACCGGCCTAACCGATTACGGCGTAACTGGTCCTAGTCCCGCTCGAAAACGTTGAGCCCGGTCAAGCTTTATTGTAACCGGTTATGGACGCCGGTCATTAAAAAAAATTATTTTTATTTTGTTAATGATATATATTTTTAATACATTATAAAATTTGTATTTGGTCACTCAGATACACTTTAAAATGCGTTTTATTATAATTAAAATTACATTGTCTTACAAAATATAGTGAGAACCCGATAATTATGAACGTTTTTTTTGCGTTTTTTGCGAATCGAGAACTTGATATGTAAATCCCTCAACCAAGACACTTATATATAGTGTTTAGAAAACAAAAAATACAAAAAAAAAAGGCCAAAAAAGGCTACATTTTAAAAAAAATAGTTACATATTTTAAAAATCAGGCCGGGCCGGGCCTGTCCATAACCGGTCCCGGTCCTGCAAAACACCCCAAATCCATAACTGGTTTGGCCATCACTAGGTTAGGGGTCGGGCCAGGCCGATTTGGCCATCACTAGGTTAGGGGACGGGTCGGGTCGGGCCAGTTTGGCCATCACTAGGTTAGGGCCCGGGAATAGTTATTCTCTTTCAAATTTTCAATCAACAAAATGAGAAATGGGGGAGAGAGAGAAAGAGGTCTTTATTGAAGAGGCTTTACACCTAGAATAGGACTAATGCAGACCTAGAAGAATGGTCGTTTTTTCCGAAAAGATGAATATGCAAAGGGYAAGGTAAAGAGAAAGTCTTTTGAACAACCAACCTGACATAAGGATTCTAGCTCGCCCACTTAGAGCAGATGGAGATTCTCGAACGGGGATAAGTTGCACTCGACGTCTATTAAACAAGACCAAAAACAAAGCCATATCATGCTCTCAGAGGAAACTAGTGATGATCGCCATGAATGCAACTCTTGAGGACGTGTACAAGAGAAATCTTTGCCGATTCCTATTATATATAGGTCTATTTTTTTTAAAAGTAAGTTTTTCAAATTTTCTATTAACATTTTTAATATCTGTACATGATTTTTATATCCAAAAACTTAAAGTTTTTTAAGTGTTCCGATACTAAAGATTTTAAAGTATATTTGAATGATTCAATTAGAAATTTTTAAGTGTATCTCAATAAGATATTGTACAAAAAAAGAAAATATTCAGACAAGGTTTTTTTTATATGCAAAATTGATCTTGGAAAAAAAACAACATTGGGACCGATTTGGGTTCGGCCCAGGGCCGGTTCTAGGAACCGGACTTGTACATGGAGAATTGGTCGGGTATTTTTTATCCGAACCAAGACCGGTTACAAAAAGAAAATCTTGGATCATGACCGATTTAAGCACGATTCAAGTCCGGTTTTTAACCATCTCTATCAGGATCTAATACCTTTTTTTTTGTCGGTGGAAATGAAATTTTTTATCATAAAAATTTGTTTGAAAATTGTCTTTTTCTATCGAATAAAGTTAAATTAACTTTACTAAAGGTAATCCACTACTAAAACATTAAAATAGGGGTTATGTTTGCTTCAATTCACCATCAAAACATTAAAAAAAAATTAGGGGTCGTTTATTAAACACTTATTCGGTAAGTGCTTAGCGGTAAAATTTAATATTATCATTTACTTACCCGGTTAGATTTTAATCCACCAAAACAATATCGAAAATTTACCCGACAAATGTTATATAAGCATCACTTAAAAATAAATACACACTAACATCAACCTTATCTAGGTCTTTAATCAAATGAGTTAAGAAGCTTAATTTCAAATTATTAATTAATTTTAATTATAAATTATTCATTAGTATTAATTATTGATTATTTAGAATTATTTATTAAT